GGCAGAAAGTACTGTACTTAATGCCAGAATTGCCATGAAAAACACCAAACATCTATGTATAGCGTCTAGGAAAAAAAAAAAAAAGCATGAGTTTGGAGAGTCATTCCACTCTAGAAGTATTCAATCCCATTTTGGAACAATCCCATATCTGTATATGTGTGAAAACCCTTGGCATCCCTCATACTGCAAGGTTCAGATTTGCCATCAGAAAAAAGACCTTTTCTTTTGTATTTTGATAAAACACTGAAGAAGCTGGAGCTGTTAAACTTTAACTCGAGGAACTATCAGAACTGGTTTATTTAGTGTTGTGGAAACCTTTATTGCTTTCAATACACACTTAGTAATCAACTGTTTTGTATACTTGTTTTCAGTTTTCATTTCGACAAACAAGCACTGTAATTAAAGCTATTAGAATAAAATCTCTTAACTATTTCATGGTTTTTATGCCTTGCTGTTCATTTGATCATCTTGGCAGAATCATAATGAAATACTTGTTGAATAAAAAGTTTCATGAAACTTGCACTGGTATCATGTTGTTTTGTATCATCATCTTTGTACAGTACCTGTTGCTGGATTAACACTCACCCAACCAGCGTTTTGCTGTGTCAGTTTGCATGAGAGTTTCAGGACATCTCCTGTGTTTCCCAAATCTGTCATTCCTGGTTGGACTCATGGAGGTGAAAAGGTGGGTAGCAGTTCTCTGGTCTTGCTGGCTGGTTGATGGTTGGCTTCTGCTGGAGTCCCTTAATTGCCTCAGGGCATCTCTTGAGCTTCTGCAGCAGTCCCATCTGTTCTTCCTGCTGATCCCACTTAGGGTAGGACATGTGAATTAGCAGGTTTGTTTTTTTGTTGGTTTTTTTTTTTTTTGCAGGGGGGAATACAAAGTCTGCCTTTTTAAACACTTTAGTTTGTGTGTTTTCACCTCTCACAGTCCCCTCTGGACCATTTCACAGGCTCGAATCTGTAAGGTGGAAGGTGTATCATGCAGGTTAGAGAGCAATCCACCCCAAACCCTGAGACTTTGGGTGGTTGTCAGAGGGGACTGCAGTGCGGCTGGAGACAGCAGGAATGCTGCTTCCTTCTATTGCTGACCTGGCATCGGTTTTCTCGCTGTGAAGCAAGAGCTGGCTTTTTGGATGATTGCTCTCTCATCAACAGATCACACTCCCCCTTGCTCCCCAGGTTTTGTTTCCTCTCTGAATCCTTCAAGCAGCACCATAGCTGCTTAGCATGTGTACACAGAACCGCCCTCAGCCTGAGCATGCTTCTCTCTGGGGCTGACCTGTTGGGCAGAGGCTCACTGAGTATGAAGGATGTTGTCTGCCCTGTCTTTGGCTGGGTGAGTGGCAGGTAGGAGGATGGGTTGATTCAGGTTCCTCAGTAAGTGCTGCCTGAGCCCCAGGTCTGTTCCTTGGGCTCGCTTCAGTAGTGAAGGGTAAATACTACTGGGCAAACAACAGGATTACAAAACTCCTGCAGGTCAGGTTATTCTTGCCTTGAGTTTCAAGCTCTGAATCAGGATCTCCACATGCCTAATAGGGCAGGATGTCTGTTCCTGGTCTGGGAGGTCATTGGACTTGAATCAGACTGGTTTGGGTTGGAAGGGGTCTTAAAGCTCGTACAGTTCCAATCCCCTGCCACGGGCAGGGACACCTTTTCCTAGAGCAGGTTACTTCAAGCCCCGTCCAGCCTGCCCTTGATCACTGCCAGAGATGGGGCAGCCACAGCTGCTCTGAACTTGAACTCTGAACTCTTCTGCTGGTAACGCTTTGCACTGCTGAAAAAAACAGAACGCACTGGTGGTTCCCCAGGATCAGCAAGCTGGGAGACCCTGACGTGCCCTCTGCTGTATACCGGACTAAGTCCAGCCCTGGAGTTTTAGCCACCCATCCAGGCAGAAGTCGTCTCATGCCCACGGGAAGCGTGAGCACAAAACTGTGTTCTGGTGTGGTTCCCCCGCAGTCCAGCCGGGACCAGCAACAGGCAGGGGGTAAAGCCTTGGCAGAGGTTTCAAAGGAGAGAGGGTGGGAGAAACTGAGCTGTGAAACAGCTGGCTGTGGAGTCAGGGAAGGCATCTGCTCACAGCCCATAGTAAATGGGTGGGAGTTCTCTGCAGGAGCAGGGAGCCAGAGGTGCAACCTCGTGGGGAGGCAGAGGAAGCTGGGCAGAGGGAGCTCTCCTGGCCAGGCTGAACTGCCCCAGGATGGCTGTGCCACAGCCCTGCCAGCATGGGGCTTGGTAAAGCTGGGGAGACCTTGGAGCAGCTTCCAGTGCCTAAAAGGGCTGACAAGAAAGATGGAGAGGGGCTTTTGATAAGGGCAGGTAGGGACAGGAGAAGGGGGAATGGCTTTAAACTGGCAGAGGGGAGATTGAGATGAGATCTGAGGAAGAAGTTCTTCCCTGTGAGAGTGGTGAAGCCCTGGCACAGGTTGCCCAGAGAAGCTGTGGCTGCCTCATCCCTGGCAGTGTCCAAGGCCAGGCTGGATGGGGCTTGGAGCAACCTGGTCTACTGTAAGGTGTCCCTGCCCATGGCAGGGGGTTGGAACTGGATGAACTTTAAGGTCCCTTCCAACCCAAACCATTCTGGGATTCTCTGATTCTGTGAAACCCACATTTGCCTGTCATGCCTAGGACTGCTTAGAGCTGCAGATGTGAATAGTCCTGGCAGAGTCAAGCCCTGCTGGAAGCATCCATCCACTTGCGTGGGAGACGGAGGAAGGGGAAGTGGGAGCCTGTGCAGGGAGCATGATTTGAAGTGGAGTGCTGGGATTTGTGGGGACTCTGGGTTTGTTCTTTGCCTGCTGAGGTTGTTCAGCTCTTCCGAAGTTCCCCTTTCAGCCTGGATCTCCTGGCACTGAGTTCCTGTTAACACAGACCTGCACTGGGATGCTCCCAGCAGGCCCCTTTCACAGCTTGGACCCCAAACATCCCCGGGGGGGGAGGTGACTTCTAACTTGGTGAGCTTGGTCTGGGGAGTGCTGGTCAGGTCAGAGCCTCCAGCCAGGGAGCACAGGGGTTCAGGGATACCCCACTTGCACCCCATGAGTTGCATGTGGGCAGCCACCAGTGGGTCGCTGGGCTGGTTGTGGGGCTGTGGCTGCTCAAACCAAGAGGAATAGCCCTGAGATGCTGCCAAGAGGTTGTTAACCCCCCTAGAAAGCATCTTGGGGTGTGCTGGGGCAGCACTGAAGCTTACGACTGCCCCGCAGCATCTCCTGCTGCCCGTGCTGGCAGGGTTATGCACGTGCTCGCAGCCGGGCAGCAGGACAGAAGGGCTTTATTTCACCTCCTCAGCCCGGTCCTGCTGTGTCCCCCCCCCATGATGAATGCTGCCCTTGTTCCACACCGGGCACGCCTGGTCCCACCCCGCACCAGCAGCGCCGCTCCACACCCCATCCCTCCCGCCCGGCTGTCATAGTGTGACAGAAACCCCCCCAGCGCTGCCAAAGTGCAGAGCAAGGCCGGTGGCCAGCCCGGAGCTCTTGTGTGCCAAGGCACACAAACCCGCCCTGTGTGCAGCAGGACATGTTGCATCATTAATTCACAAACGGGGCCCTTGTGCTTGGCACAGCCACTCCTGCAGCCAGCGATGCTCCGGCCCAGAGCTGCCTGGGACAACCCCTTTCCATTCGGATCAGTATTTCTATTTATTGATGAGAATTTCCCTTTTCTCAGTGCATCAAGAATCATAGAACCATAGAATCAGTAAGTTGGAAAAGACCTTTAAGATCATAAAGTCTAACTGTTACTCCAGGACTGCCAAGTCCACCACTAAACCATGTCAATGCTACATCTACACGGTTTGTGAACACTTCCAGGGATGGTGACTTCACCACTTCCCTGGGCAGCCTGTTCCAATGCTTGATCAGCCTCTCCATGAAGAGATTTTCCCTAATACCCAATCTAAACCTCCCCTGACACAGCTTGAGACCATTCCCTCTTGTCCTATCATTTGTTACTTGAGAGACCCACTCCCACCTCACTACAACCTCTGTTCAGGCAGTTGTAGAGAGCGATAAGGTCCCCCCTTAGCCTGCTCTTCTCCAGACTGAACAACCCCAGTTCCCTCAGCAGTTCCTCATCACACTTGTGCTCCACACACTTCACCAGCTTCATTGCCCTTCTCTGGACCCACTCCAGCACCTCAATGTCTCTCTTGTAGCAAGGGGCCCAAAACTGAGCACAGGATTTGAGATGCAGCTTCACCAGTGCTGCGTACAGGGGACAATCACTTCCCTGCCCCTGCTGGACACGCTACTGCTGATACAGGCCAGGATACCATTGGCCTTCTTGGCTGCCTGGTCACAAGCTGCTCATGTTCAGCGGCCATCAGCACCCCCAGGTCCTTTTCCAATGAGCAGATTTCCAGCCAGTATAAGACCCAGCACTTTGCATTGTTGAACCTCATACAATTGGCCACAGCACATCAACCCAGCCTCCAGATCCCTCTGCAGACCCTTCCCACCCTCCAGCAGATCAACACTCCCACCCAGCTTGATGTCATCTGCAAATTTACTGAGGGTGCACTTGATCCTCTCATCCAGATCATCAATGAAGATATTAAACACCGGCCCCAACACAGCCCTGAAGGACACCACTAGTGACCAGTCACCAACTAGATGTGACACCATTTACCACTACTCTTTGGGCTTGGCCATCCCACCGGTTTCCAACCCAGTGAAGAATCCTTCTATCCAGGCCATGAGCAGCCAATTCATCCAGGAGAATGCTGTGGGAGAGAGTGTCAAATGCTTTACTAAAGTCCAAATACACAATGTCCATCCTCTACCAGGTAGGTCACCTTATCACAGAAGGAGATGAGGTTGGTCAAGCAGGACCTGCCCTTCATGAACCCGTGCTGACTGGGCCTGATCCCCTCATTTTCCTGTATGTGCTTTATGACCTCACTTAGGATCATCTGCTCCATGACTTTCTCCAGCACCAAGGTCAGGCTGACAGGCCTGTAGTTCCCAGGGTCTTCCTTCCTGCCCTTTTTGTAGAGAGGTGCCACATTGTCCTCCTGACATCACTGACATCGCAAGTTCTCCCCTGCTTGCACGTGTACATGTGCCCTATGGAGTGTGTGATGGCCCATGGGGAGCCTACCTCAACCCATGGAGAACACCCATGACCCTTGGAAAACACCCATAGCGCATGGAGGGCATCACTGCTCTATGGAGAGCATGTGTAGCCCCATGGGGAGCACCCTTATGACATGAAGAGCATCCATCACCATGTGGGGAGCACTCATCAGCCCATGGAGTGCAGAGGTGGTCCTGTGGAGAGCCCGACAGCCTGGCTCTCATAAACCCATTGGACCCAAGATGCAAAACCCTCCCAGCAGTGCATGAGTCCTGGGTTTTATTTCACAGCTGTAAACTTAAGGAAAAAAATCCTCCTTCAGCCACTTCACTGGCAGCTACTTGAGGGCTTTGAAAGAAGATGTTAAAAACACAATATCCGCATAGTAATAAGTCTCTTTACATAAACACAAAGTATTTGCAGCATTTCTAGCACTGCAGCCAGAACCACTCCAGTGCCAGCACCCACCCCACAGCTAAATCATGGCTGGACAGATAGATCCAGGCAGTGAGGAGGGAGGCACCCAGCCCCCTGCTGCCCCCCACCACTGGTGGGGCTGTCCCATGTTGAAGGCAGGGGCTGTGGGCAGGGAAGGGGCAGCTGCCATTGCACCACACACCGAGCTTCGCTGGGCTCAGCCCCGGCAACAGCAGAGCTGTGGCTTCTTTAATTTAATAACCTTATAAAATAGATAGTCTCTGTGAGCTCTCCCTGGGAAACAACCCCCAAGCTTCCTCTCAGTCCGAATCGGTGTCATGGCGTTGCCTGGCCCCACGGGACGGAGGGGACCGGCTCCTGCTCCTCTTCCTCCCTTTGCGCCGTGGGGATGGGTGCCAGCCATGGCCATCCCTGCTCTGGCTCTGCTGACGGGCAGGGTGGCGCGAGGGGCTCCTACCGGAATCGCTGTTGCTGCTGGAGGAATCCGTGTCCTGTCGATGCCGGCTGCTGTGCCGTGATGGCTCAGGGTGCTGCTGGGTCTTCCTTCGATGGTGCCTACAGGTAAGGAAAAGTAAGGGACAGTGGGGACACAGGGAATCCAGAAGCTGATTCTGGGGATGAAAAATGGATTTTGGAAAGCCAGGAGATGCTGATGGGGCATCCTGATGCCAGCCACGATGATAATGCAGCTCTCCTAAATCCTTCAGCCCATTTTCCAGCAATGATGCTCTGCCAATCCTGAGCTACCTGTCATCCTCGTCTGAAGACGACTCGGAAGACGATGAGACAGCATCCCTCTTGTGATGCTTATCCTTCTTCTTTTCCTTCTTATGTTTTTTCTTTTTCTTTTTTTTTTTCTCCTTTTTGGATTTCTTACTCCCTTCTGGTCTGCAGGGAAGAGATCAGTGAGTATCCCTGCCACACACATCCATCTGGCTCCTCCAAACACTCATCCCCATCCCTCCCTCCAGCTGCATCTCACCACTTCCATCCTTGGCCAAGAAGAAGTGCCCATAAAAAAATCCAAAACAACTCAACAAACAGGTTTTTGGGGCAAACCAGAGGTTTTGGGGATGATTCAGGCAGATGCAGAACAAGCCCAATGCCAAAAGGAGTCACAGAAGCATTTTGCAAAGTATCTTCCTTGCAAAAATAGGCCATTTCTGGTAGTTCCCCACTGAAATGGCAGTCTCCATACTCACCGTTTCTCCTCCACCTTCTCCTCCTTCTCCTGCTTTTTCTTGGAGAGAGGCATCTCGGGGCTGCTGGAGACTTTCTGGTGCTAGGGTTGGAAAAAGAGAAAAAGAGCGAGTCTGTAAGGCCATAGCTTTGAATTACAAGAAGCAGCGATCTTCTCCTTGTAGTACAGGACAAGGGGGAATGGATTTAAACTGACGGAGGGGAGATATAGATGAGATGTGAGGAAGCAGTTCTTCCCTGTGAGGGTGGTGAGGCCCTGGCACAGGTTGCCCAGAGAAGCTGTGGCTGCCCCATCCCTGGCAGTGTCCAAGGCCATGCTGGATGGGGCTTGGAGCAACCTGGTCTAGTGGAAGGTGTCCCTGTGCATGGCAGGGGGTTGGAACTGGGTGAGCTTTAAGATCCTTTCCAACCCAAACCATTCTGGGATTCTACGAAAAATTAAATCTAATTTGGAAAAAAAAAAAAAAAAAAAAAGAAAATTGAATAAAAATTAAATTCAGAAAAAATTTGAATACCCACAAGAGCTGCTTCTAATTAAAACCCCACAAATTACCTCTGTGCAGACAGGACACAGGCCTCTGTGCTACAGCCATCAGCTCTGGTTTTAAATAAAACACCCTGAGCGTGGGGAAGGGATTTCTGCCCTTTTTCAATCTTTGATTTAAACCTGGTAAGGAAGATGACAGCACCGTACCGTGAAGATAGAAAGCCCCATCTTGGCAGCCTCCTTGTCCTCCTTGGACAGCATTATCCGGCCAGCACTGCCGCTGGGGAGAGACGAGTCACCAAATGAAAACAAACCCCACAGAAACAACAACAAAAAAGCATTAAAATGGCAAAATTAAACAATCGCATTGCCCTGAAATGGGGCATTTTGGTGTGGGACCCCCACTGGCTCCTTGTACCTCGAGCTGCCCAAGCCCACCACCCGGTCCACATTCTTCTCATCCCGCTCGGTGCCATCCCGCTTGCACACCTCGGCCAGGTCCTGTGGGGGGTCAAGAATGTCCTCAGTGTGTGTGTGTCCCCCCATAAAACACCACACGGAGCTGAGGGGAGATGACACGGGATGCATGGGCCCCCCTTACCTCCCTGCTGAGCCCGGTGGGCTGCCTCTTGAGGTTCTTGTAGCCCCTATAAAACAAAACCCAGGTGATGCGTATATGGGTGGGGGATACCTTGCACCTCCTGTGTTTCTGCGGTGGCAGTGGGGGTAGACTCACAGGGCTGCCAGCATGGCCTCCTGCTCAGCCAGGCGGACAGCAGCCAGCTCTTCCTCACGGGACAGCGCAGGGGCTGTGTCCTTCTTGCCCTTGGCGTACCATGTCAGGTCCTTCCCCTTCTGCCACCGGCCCACCGGCGCCATCAAGGAGTTTCCTGTGGGGGGCAAGACATCATAACACCCCAAAACATCTATCTGCACCCCAAAACCATGCTGGAGGGACAGGGAAGATGGGGATGGAAAGGGGGTTTGGCCAAGGTCGGTCCTCACCCAGGTAGTTTTCACGCTGTTTGTCTGTCTTGACATCCTCCCAGCTGAACTGGTCCTGGCCCCCTCGCACTCCTCCTCGGGACGAGCCAAACATGGTGCTGGACCCCTCAGTGGTGGTGGGGCGATGGTGACCTGCAAAGGGGCCAGGCCCAGATTTAGCCCCCCCCAGCTCCTCCATGTAGGGGATGATGGAGGGTCACTGAGTTAGGGGAAGCAAATGTGCCCCCTCTGGAGTTGGTGGGGTAGGCAAATCCTTGGAGAAGGGGACTGCACAGCCTGGAAGGGCAGGTGCACAACCCAAAGGCAGGGGGTGCCTGGCCTGGGGAGTTGTACGGCCTGGAACTGGGGTGGCAGGGCCTGGGGGAAAAGATATGCTGCCTGGTGGAGGATACACGGCCTGGGGAGGGGTGGCAGGGCCTGGTGGGGGGGACGGAGAACAGACGGCGTGGGGATTAATACACAGGTCCACAGGAGCTGGTGGGGTTGCAGCCTATGTGGGGGGTGTTGCACAGCCTGAGAGGAGCTGCAGGGCCTGGAGGAGGGGGGGCGGACACCACGGGGTAGGAGGAGATGGGAGAGCTTGGGGGGGGGGGGGGGGGGCGGCTTAAGGGGAGTTGTACGGAGCAGAAGGGTACACACACTGGAGAACGGGGGGGGGGAGGCGGTCGCACGACCCGGAAGACCGATTGCACGTCCGGGGGGGGGGGGAAGGGGTGTTCGCACGTCCCCGAGGTGTGTGAACGCCAGCCTCGGGGATCCCCCCATGACCGGACTGGGGCGGGGGAGGGGGGGGTGCGGGTTCAAACCTTGGGATCACACACGCCTCTTCCTCCCCCCCCCACCCGCGCACGCACCTCGCGTTCGCTCCCGCCTGCGGAGCCCGCTCGCCCCGGCCGCTACCACCGCTCGCGGTGGGGAGAGTGGCCTTGCGTGGCGGACCGTACCACTGCATCAAGGAAGGCGGGGGGGCGGGTGGAAGAACCCGAAGGAAAAGCCCGCCTACGGCGGCACCACGAGGAGCCGTTTGCCGGTTGTATTTGTTTATTAAAGGCTGGTTCCGCCGCCTCACTTCTTCCAGAACCGCTCGTAGGTGCCCAGGTCGATGCCCTCGAAGGTGTCCTCCTGCTCGGCCTTGGGCTTGCTGGGGAACTGCCTCCGCAGCCGCGCCTTGCGCTCCGCCTCGGGCAGCGTGTTGCTGTCGACCGGCAGCTGAGGGAACGGCGTGAAGCCCCGGCCCAGCCGCGCCCTCAGCCGCGCCCTCAGCCGCCCCGCCCGCCGCCCGCCTCACCATGAGGATCCGCTTGGGCTCCTTGTAGCGCAGGCGGATGGTGGAGCCGTCGGTCTTGACCAGCAGGACGGGATAGAGGCGGCCGTAGAGCTGCCTGTGGAGGTGGGAGACTGAAGTGCGGTTGGAGTTGCTGCGGCTGGAGAGGGCGATCACCGGAGGCAGCCTGGGGATGGTGTCGAGGCGCAGGGCGCTGGTGGGAAGGTAAAAGAGAAGTGAGGTCAGTCACGGCTGTGAGAGCAAGAGATGCCATCATGGTGTGTTAAATCTCAGAGTGGTTGGAGTTAGAAGGGACCTTAAACCTCATCCAGTTCCAACTCCCACTGCCATAGACAGAGACACTTTCTGCTAGACCAGGTTGCTCCAAGCCCCATCCAGCCTGGCCTTGAACACTGCCAGGGATGGGGCGGCCACAGCTTCTCTGGGCAACCTGTGCCAGGGCCTCACCACCCTCACAGGGAAGAGCTTCTTCCTCAGATCCCATCTAAATCTCCCCTCTGTCAGTTTAAAGCCATTTTGCCTTGTCCTGTCTTTACCTGTCCTTGTCAAAAGTCCCTCTTCAGCTTGTCAGCCCTTTTAGGCACTGGAAGCTGCCCTAAGGTCTCCCGGGAGCTTTCTCTTCTCCAGGCTGAACAAGCCCAGCTCTCTCAGCCTGTCTCCATTGCTCCAGCCCTCGGAGCATCTTTGTACCCTCCTCTGGATTCACTCCAACAGCTCTGCACCTTTTATGCTGCGGACCCCAGAGCTGCAGCAGTGCAGGAGAGGAGGTCTCACCAGAGCAGAACTGACCTGCTGGTGATGCAGCCCAGGGCACAGTTGGTTTCTGGTCTGCAAGCACATACTGCTGGGTCATGGTGAGCTTCTTGTCAGCCAGCACCCCCAAGTCCTTCTCACGGCTGCTCTCAATCCAATCTGCCCCAGCCTGTAGCTGTGCTTGTGATTGCCCCGATCCATGTGCAGGACATTGTATTTGGCCGGGCTGGACTTCATTACGGAAGACACAAACCTCCATCACCCCAAAAAACCTGTCCCCAGCAAGGCTCCTGACGAAGGGCCCAGCTTCTCCGCCGGGGCACTGCAGCCTCTGCCACCAACTCACCTCAGTGCCCGGCTTGCAGCTGCCATCTTACTTGAGTGAGTGAGGGCAGATCAAGCATGTAAGGAGCTGGCAGACAGCAGGAGGTGCGGCAGCCTCCCAGGGACACCCTAGGAGACACAGAGCTCGTATGGCATGGCTGTAGGGTGATGGCCCTGTCCTCATCACAGTGCAACCTCCCAAGTCCCCTCTCCGTCATGCATCAGCCCCATGTTGGCTCCCCCCCTCCCCACCATGGTTTAGACCAATAAAGGCCCCTCAAGTATAGTTTAGCTCCATAATGGTTCCATATATCCCCGCTATGGTTTGGCGCCCTATTGACTCCCCCTATCTCCGCCATGGTTCGGCCCTATAATGATTCCTCCCTCCCCATGGTTTAGCTCCATGACAGCTCCCCCCCATTCCTGCCATGCTTCGGCCCCATACTGGCTCCCTCTGCTCCGCCGTAGTTCAGCCCCACAACGACTCCCCACCTACCCCCATCTTGGCTCGATCCAAGACAGCCTCCCCCACCCCTCCCCGCAAATGGTTCAGCCCAGGGTACCGCGTTTCTCCCCACCGCGCTGTGGCTCGTCTTAACCCTCATCATGGCCAGGTCAGAGCTGACACCCCCCACCCCCCCCCCCCCCCAAGCAGCCCCAAGCGCTCCCCAACCCGCACTGCTCAGTCCTGGCGCCCCCACACTGACCGTTTATTCCCCCCCCCTTCCCTCTCCCGTGGTCTGTCCCACCGCCCTCCGCTCACGTGACCGCGCGGCGCTCCTCTTCGCCGTCCGCCTGACGTCAGTGGCGTCACCGTGGCGGCGGTGGGGACGCGGGAGCTGTTGGTACCGCCTCCTCCTCCGCTTTCCGCCCCCATCCTCATGATCGGGCAGCGGCTGCGCGGAGCCATCGCGCGGGCGGCGGGTGAGCGCCGGGGTCGGTTCCTCAGGGCCCAGCCCCGGTGGGGCGAGGCGAGGCAAGGCGAGGCACAGCCGGCCCCGCCGCGCTGAGGTGCCTGTGAGGGGTGCGGGTCCCGGCATAGGTGCCCCTGGCCGGGCACGCCGAGCTCGCCCATCTCCCCCCTGAGGGCCTGATGGGGTGCTGAGTCCAGGCAGGGCGGGCGGTGGGACATGCTTGGGTCTGTCCCTGGTGCCGTGGTCCCCTTTTCTCCAGCCACGTCGGTGTGGTGCTTGGGAATGGCTCCGGGATGCTCCCCGTTAGATAAGACCAGGGGTGTGTGTGCTATTTCGCGTGGGTTTCATCAGTGCGTGAGAAAGGGCGCTTGGGGCATGCAGCCTGCAGGTACTCAAATATACAGCACTGTGTGGTGAAACACTCTGTGTATGTGGGGAGGTGGATGGCAAAACCACAGCTGCCTTAGCTTCATCTCTGTGGAAGTGCACCCGCCTGCATCAACTGGATTGGACCCGGTGGTTAAGTTAAACTGGTCCAGTTTTGCAGGACACCACGTTGTAATGACTGCTGGCCATCTGGCCTGGCCCCAGGTGGTTTCTGCAATGAAATCACCTTGAGCAACTGGGTCTTGCCTCCTGCAGCATCATTGCTCCCTGCAGAGCCAGGCATGCCCACACTGCAGTCAGCAACGGGGTAATCTGTGCTCTTTAGGTAATTGCTTCTGTGATAAAGGTGGCTTTGTGTTCCCACTGGATCTGGGTTCTGTGGTGGGGATGCTTTGCTCCTGCTTCAGTATTTCTGTAATTCCTTTATGTAAGCAGCCCACTGGCCGGGCAGGACCTTGCAGTCCAGCCATCCCATTCCCCAGGTGAATGAGTATGTGAATACTGTGTTCAGTTCTGGGCCTCTCACTATAAGAGGGATACTGGAGTGGGTCCAGAGAAGGGCAGCAAAGCTGGTGAAGGATCTGGAGCACCAGTCTGAAGAGGAATGGCTGAGGGAACTGGGTGGCTTTAGTTTGGAGAAGAGAAGGCTCAGGGGGGACCTTGTTGCTCTCTGCAACTACCTCAAAGGAGGTTGTAGTGAAGTGGGGTTGGTCTCTACTCCGGAGTAACAAATGACAGGACAAGAGGTAACAGCCTTAAGCTGCACCAGAGCAGGTTTAAATTGGATATTAGGAGCAATTTATTCACTAGGAGGGTGGTCAGGCATTGGAACAGGATGCCCAGGGAAGTGGTGGAATCACCATCCCTGGAAGTGATGACAAACCATGTAGAAGGGGCCTTCAGTGACATGGTTTAATGGTGGTCTAGGCAGTGCTGAGGTAATGGTTGGACTTGATGATCTTAAAGTTCTTGTGCAACCTAGTTGATTCTATGACAGGTCTGGGGTTGTGGCTGCTGGAGCAGCATCATGGTGCCCATGGGGCTCTTCACAGACATCAAGATGCCAAGGGTTTGTCTGGTCTGGGACAATGCTAAGCTTTGCTGTGTTACTGCAGCTGGCTGGGCTGGGTTTGGCTTTCAGAAAGTGTCCCAAAACTTAGAAAGGTGGGAGTGGTGGCTTCATAATGAACCTGCTAAAAATAGTGGATGGGATTATAATCCTAATCCAGGAGACCTTTCTTGGGGCTCCAGGGAAACTGTCCTTTAATCTTCTTTTCGACTTTATAAGAGGGCTTTACCTTCTCTGTAAAGCCTCTTTGCTAATCAGCATTAATTTTAACTCCTGCGATGTCTGTCCTTTGCTTTTCTGGTTGTGTTGCCACCTCCCAGTCAAAATCTAGGGCAAGTTTAGCAGGTAGGAATGGCCCAAGGAACATTTCTCCTCCTTCAGTGACCACCTTGCCTTTTTGCAGCTGTTTGACCTCAGTCCCAGCTGTGGCACCTCCCCAGATTTGAGGATATTGATTAGATAGCTGTGCTGCTCTGTTGCTCATCAGCTCCAGCCTGCTGTGGTTTTGGTGGTGCGTGTAGTTAGGCTGGACCCGAAACAGTTTTAGGAGTAAGCCAGTGGAGATGAGAGATCCTCTGTGCTAGATATTTGCACATTATCTGCTCTGAAAATGCAGAATCTGAGAAAAGAGGGGGGAAAATGAGTTTTTGCTGAACATAAATGTAATGTTGCTTCAGCAAATATCTTGAAAATGTGATTTGTAGCTGCCTTGCTGAGCTGGGAACCAAACGTGAGATTGGAAAAGCCCCAGATCTACCAGGTCTGGGTTTTCTGGGTTTTTTCACACTTTGCCTGTGGTTTTTGAAGGCTTCAGGTTGCCAGAGGGATCAGAACTGTGTTCAACAGGGCTGGGGGAGGTGGGATGAGGGAAGCAGAGGGGCTCAGTGAGGGCAGTACTATTGCTGTGGAGACCCATTCATCATTAGGAGCGGTTCTTCGGAGTTGGGGCATGTGTTTAACTGGTTGTGATGCTAGAGGTGAGGGCATCTGCTTCCATGTCTGTGCTGCTCATGTCTTGAGGCGGAGATCATCTGCTCACCCTCCCTTTTCCTCCTTTGCCTCTCCAGCCCCAAGCAGCTGCCCCCCATATCTTGCACTGTGCCTTCCGAAAGTGCTCTGTGGGAGCAGGTTTTGCTCTGCTCTGGCACAGATTCATGGTTTGCCAGGCGGGTGTTTGATGTCAGCTGCACACAAGGGCCCAGCCCCTTCATCTGCCAGTGGAAATGCCTTTTATTTATCCCCCTCTCTTCTAAATTAACTCTTGTTTTCCTCTGCAGATCCTCAGGAAAAGAGGGGGGATACATGTGGAGGGAGGCAAGAGGAAGCACTTGCAAATCTTTTGGCTTATTTTTAGCCTGTTTCTCAAAGAAGTGAGACCTGTGATAGTAACTTATGTGTCATTTCTGACTTTAGTTCTGAGTATCTGGGGGAGAAAAAAGGGAATAAGGTCAAGGAGAGTGTCTCTATCTTCCCCAGACACCCCACCAGTGCTCTTTCAGGGGAAAAAGCACCATGAGCATTTACACACAGGTGGCAGAGACCCTGTGGGGACACACCACAGGTACTGAGGTGTGCTCTCTGGAGGCTTGGGTTTGGATCTGTGGGCAAGAGGAGTTTCCCTGTTGCCTCTGTGGTGGATAAGTAGCCTAATTGTTGACCTGAGCAGTGGCTGGAGTCAGCAGTGGTGTGAACTTTGGTCCAAAAGGAGTGTTGTCTGCAGAAATCCTGGCTAAAAACAAGAGCAAATGCCTTTCCAGAAGAGTTTCCAACTGCACAGCTGTTGGGTGTGTAATGTGAGCGCAGCAGCTTCTTAGCCTGGGTTTGTGCCTGTTGTGCATCAGTGTCACCTCAGAGCCCGTCTGTTTTTGGTGTCTGTGGGCACTGCTCGAGCACCAGCTGCACTATGAGAAGGAGTGTGGGCTGGAAACCTCCTGGGGTCCCCTCCACCTCACCTCACCTTGAGTGAGTCCCTCACCTTGGTGACTGTGGGGCCTGTGTGATCCTGGAGGTTTCCTGCAGAGCCGGGGACAGTTTGGCTGCTGTTTGCCTATAGCTTTACCAGCTGGGAGAGTAGGGAGAGGAGGAGAAACCAGGAGAGAAGATTAAAGACCAGCTTTTCATTGGCCATCTTAAACTTGCAGCTCGGTAATTAGGGCTTTAGGCAGCTCGAAAAAAGCCCAGCTTTCTGCCAGCTGCTCATATTGCTGCTACAAGGGGCTGGACTTCATACCTGAGCTGAAAGGGAGTAAAAGCTAAAGGTAAGGATGCTAAGGGTAAGGATCCTAAAGGTAAGGAGCATGCTCCCAGTGAGTCCTTTCCCAGTTTGTCTGGGGTTGAATGAAATGATTATAAGGGATTTGGGCAGCCTTGAATTCCCCTTTTCCTATCAGTGCCTGCTGAAGGGCAAATGAAATTTTGAGGGAGAAGAAAGGGAAGCTGTTTTCCCTCTGGCTGGGATGGGAGTGTCCTGGCTGGATAGTGTAGTCAGGGGCCAGGATTTATGTGTCTGGCACAGCAAGATCACAGCAGAAGCTGTGAAGCTCTTGGAGAGAGTCAGTGCTGGCATCTGAATGTCCCCTGCAGGGGCTTTTCAGTGGTGGCCAAGGAAGCCAGTGTTCAATGAAGGAGCATTGTTTGGGAGCAGACGTGTTGCAAAGCGTGCTGGAGTGACGGGAGGGCTTTGTGTAGCTCCTCTTCTGGAGTGTTTGTCAAGCAGTGGTTAAGGCTCACCCGTTGTATTTAAGTGGGCAAGAGGAGCTGGTGGGGCAGAGGAGAGGGAGATGCTTTGCACAACTTGGCAGTGTTGGATCTGGTGCATCTCAGGCTGTGGCACCTGGAGTATGCTAAGCTAATGGCAAAAAAAAAGAATAATAAAAAATAGTTTCCATTTGGATGGTGATTAAACATTCTACGCCCACATGAGCTGCTGCTGCATCTACTTAGACTTTGTGTATTAATACTCTGTCCTTTCACGCATTACTGGTGTCATTTTCTAGCTGTGGTGCTGGCTGGTGGATGCCTGTGTGATCATAGAGCTGCACAGAAGTGGTTTAGGGATGGAGGCTGGAGTCAGCCCGGTGAGGTTACCCTGCTGCAGCATCATTGCCTGACCTTGGGAGAGGCCCAGTTTGGCTTAAGGCTGTTTAAAAAGTGATTTGTAAGGTCAGGGTGACAATGCTCTGATCTGATTTAAAATGGAAGGGCATTATACTGTCTGTTGGCTGATTGCTCCCAAGGCCACACCCAGGCACCGCGGTTAAAAATATGCATTTCCAGGGGCTTTGCTGCTGCAGAAAGGAATTGTGGTTCAGGCTTTTTTCTTAATAGGAAAAATCGGCCTGTTTGATTTGCTCTGCTCTCGTCATCACTTCTGGTTTAGGAGCTGCTGAATTGCCGATGGATGAGGGTCCCCAGCCGTACCCCCTGCGCTGTCATTCGGGATTTTGCTCTTTATTCACATGTTGGTGATTAAACTTTCTTCATCCCAGAGAGGCAGGCACATGAAAATGCCCAGTTGTTTTCTTTCTGGTTGAAGAAACTACTGTAGAAAGGTTTCCGTGGCCCCAGGCTGCCTTTTTTTTTCCTGGACTAGGAACCAAACCCTTCTCTCTTGGGCTGGAGTTAGTGTTCCAAGGAATGTGGAAATAAACTCTAAAAGCGTGTTTGCGTCCCCTATCACACTCATGTTCAGACTGCTGTAGAAGGCTTTGGGGTTTAGTGGTGAAGGACATGCTGGGCTTCTGGCTGTAGGTTTGAGTATGTTGTCTGCTTGTGGTAAAGGCTTTGCATGGGGATATTTATCCCAGGACTGATAGTGAACTTTTAACTGCCCATCTTGGGCTCACAGTTTGTACTTGTTAGGATGTAAATGGGCAACATAAGAGGTGTGGGGTCTCATGAGCATCCCATCCTCGCCTGGAGCTGCATATATGTAACACTGGTGGATTTCTGTCCTTTTTTCTTGAAGCATCTCCTGCAAACTCCTCTTGAGGCCTCTCCCTGTGAGAGAGAAGCAGCTGTGACTATACATGTATCAGTAAGGACTTGCTGGCATTGCCCAGCACATTTGGATGTCCTGTGATGTTTCCACATGCCACCAAGGCACAGACAGTGTTTTCCTCACTTTAGAGAAATAGCTTTCCTTAGGATTTGGGTCCCAGAGGGACCCAACCCTGCTCACAGAGAACAGAGCTAGGACAGAGCTGGCTTGAATTATCCCAGCTTAATGACAGCTGGAGCCCAGTTTCCTCTCCTTTGGGTTATGTCTGATTTTAACCTCAGTCCCTTGAGCATGAGTGTTCATGCTGCAGTGATACATGCCCTTTATTTGTCCAAGGTATTTGCTCCCCAGGTAAGAATGGGGGCCAGCAGCAAAGCAAGGTGAAGCTACCCTACAATTGCTGGTGCACTGCATTCTGCTTTCCATACTGCTGCCTCCCTGCTCAGGGCGCCTAGCTCAGGTCTTCTGCAGTAGCACAGAGGTGGCAGCTCCCGCTGTTTGCTGCCAGTTTGTGAATGTAATAGTTGTTTGAATTTTCCTTGTATATCCTCCACTTCCAGTTACTTTCTATCAGCTCTAGGCTCATGCTTTCTCATAATTGCAGATTTGCCTGCAGAAACTTACATCCAAGGGTATAAAAGATAGATGCAGTTTTGTGGGGCCAAGCACCCCTGGCAATCCATAGCTGTGGTTTTTCATGGATGCTTCTAACCAAACACATTTTTCTGTCTTTCTAGCCATGCAGGGACCAAGGCCAGTGGTTCTGAGTGGTCCATCAGGTGCAGGGAAGAGCACTTTGTTAAAGAAATTGCTTAAAGATTATGAGAACGTATTTGGCTTTAGCGTCTCCCGTGAGTATCTATATGCCTCTGCCGAAGGGCAGTGGAGTTTAGGGCTGTAAGCCCAAAGCCTGCTTTTGTTGCGGTGTTCATGCCCCAAGTAATGCGCTTCCATGGCTTGCCTGTATCTTAGGGCCTTGTCTGTGGGGCCTTCGTGGTGTTAAAATAAGTCAGGATGCCTTTTACTACTGGTATTGAATGGCAAGTTTTAAGATTTGTCTGGAATAGCAGACAAATCTTGCCTGGTCTCATGACCCCAAATGCCTCTAAACACAGCTCAAGGAGGTAATGAGATTTTTCTGAGTGATTCTTGACTCTGAATTAACACCTGTCCTTCAAAAGCCATTTCTTTCCATCCACCTGTGCACGCTGATGAGGATTTTAACAGCCCAAGGGTGTCATGCCAGAGTCTTACACTTGAGTTTTGTGAAGCCTGCCTCATTACCAGGTCTGTCAGTGAAACAGTTCACCTCATCACCTGCATACATTTCTCCTGCCATTACTCTGGTGGTTTGTTAACCTCTTCTACATTGGTCACTTAAGTGCTGGCCAAGGGTCCTTTGTTCTCTGCCTGGGGTGTTTCCCTGTCAGGTGAAAATAACCCCTGGCCAATCGGCTTGGTCCGCTCGTACCTGCCAGCAGTGCTGAAGTCCTTCTGTGTCCACAACAGAGGATGTAAATGCATGGGGTTTTCCTCTGGCAGGTTACCTGTTGCAATACTAATCCTGTTCTCTTTTTCTTGAGTGATACATTAAAGGTTACCGTAACTCTGGGCTGTGTCACCAGCTCATTCACCTGATTTTCCCTGGAGCTCTGCAGTGTATTTTTCAGCACGTTACCATAATGTTTTTAGTGTCCTGACCATCTTGGATACTGCAGTTGAAATTCTTGCTCTGAGATCTGGGTGATCTCCATGAAAGAGCAAATACTGTGTGTTTAAAGATTTAATGTTACTGGAGATATAAAAAAAAACACCACAGCTTAAAATTATCTTTCCTTTTGTGTTTCATCCTATGGTCTTGATTAAACTGAATCTCTCTTCTCACTCCAAACTAATGTTACCATTTTCCCCAAGGCTGCCTCTTGGTGGTTATTTTTTTTCCTAAATCTCCATAGGCCACTTAGACCTTGGCAACTGGTGCTTTATAAAAACCTTGACCAGGTGATCAGAGCCTTATTGCATTAGGTTAACTCCTGATGGTCCTAAATAATCAATGTTGCCCTCCATGATGACTGTCAGCTCCTTTTTGGTTTTACAGAGCATGTGCTTAAAATAACACCAGTTTGAATGACTTCCAGCAGGCTTCAAAGGCTGTCTGATTTATTCACCTCGTGCAGGAGTTTGCCCTTATTCATTAAATCTGGCTATTTTAAGCACCTGTGTAGGTGATGCATGATCTTTTCAAATGACAGTAACTCTGTGAAGTAGAGCACCGATAATTCCCCTCATCTGAGGCAGAGGTCCAAGTAACGTGTCTAGCATTACACAGGAAGGCTCTAGCAAAGCTGGAAACTAAGCCCAGCCTGTTAAGTCCCACACTGACCATTCAGCCCCTAACAATGTAGGCTGCTTTCATATTATCTAGGATTCTTCGATTACAGGCCAATCCTGCATGTTGTTGTTTTGTTAAACTAGCTGATTCTGGGAGCTTTAGGAATTTTAAGTAGAGGATCAGGTTACTACATGATTGGGTTCATCTGCTGCATAGTGCTTTTATTTCTTTGATACTGTTACATCCTTGGGTGATCTACAATATTTACAAAGCTGTTTTTTTTCCTTACAGATACCACAAGGCAGCCAAGACCTGGAGAAGTAAATGGCAAAGGTGAATGTGCTGCAGCTGGGCCTGTCTCACCAGGCTCTGCAAATAATTCCTGCAGAAAATGTTTAAGCTTTTGTGAATTATGTCCATGGATCCCCTCTAGTAACTAAGTTAGTCCTACATTTATGTTTATAGGGTGCATTTCCTTAGGCAGACATTCAGTAATAACATATTTTAGAATGGATATGTATACTTGTATATAAATATGCATATATACATTGCACTTGGCCTTGTTGAACTTCGTGAGGTGGGCCTCTGCGGACCCTGATGAAGTTCAACAAGATTGAGTGCAAGGTCTTGCCTTGCATTTGTGCAGCGCAGTCTCAAGCACAAATACAGGCTGGGGGAGATTGGGTTGAGAGCAGCCCTGAGGAGAAGGACTTGGGGGGTTGGTTGACGAGAAGCTCACCATGACCCGGCAGTGTGTGCTTGCAGCCCAGAAACCAACCGTGTCCTGGGCTGCATCACCAGCAGCATGACCAGCAGGTCAAGGGAGGGGATTTTCCCCCTCTGCTCTGGTGAGACACCCCCCACTGCAGTCCTGCATCCAGCTCTGAGGTCTCCAACAGAAGAAGGATGTGGAGTGAGTTCAGAGGAGGCCACGAAGGTGCTCCAGTGTCTGGTGCACCTCTCCTATGGAGACAGGCTGAGAGAGCTGGCCTTGTTCACCCTGGAAAAGAGAAGGCCCTGGGAAGACCTTACAGTAGCTTCCAGTGCCTAAAGGGGCTGACAAGAAAGCTGGAGAGGGGCTTTCAACAAGGGCAGGACAAGGCAGAATGGCTCTAAACTGACAGAGGGGAGATTTAGATGGGATCTGAGGAAGAAGTTCTTCCCTGTGAGGGTGGTGAGGCCCTGGCACAGGTTACCCCAAGTAGCTATGGCTGCCCCATCCCTGGCAGTGTTCAAGGCCAGGTTGGGTGGGGCTTGGAGCCACCTGGTCTAGTAGAAGGTGTCCCTGCCTGTGGCAGTGAGGTTGGAGCTGGATGATCTTTAAGATCCCTTCCAACCCAAACCATTCTAGGATTCTATGATGCACACACTTTTGTTCTTTGTCTCAGTGGCAGTGAGACTATAGCCATTACTGTTCTGCAGCATATGCCAGGTGTTGGAGAGGACATAATGAGGAGGGATGTACTTGGCAGAGCAAAATCAAAATTTAATTAGGCAGTGATACATTAACAGAGGCAGAGCCTGTGCCATCAGTATTCTTTTCTAGACACTGTCTCTGTGACTCACTAACCAGAGTTATCAAAGCATGGCTCAATTTAAGCACTTGAGTCCATACTTGGCCTGGAGTGTCTTGATTTTCCATAGTGCCAGGTAGCTTTTGTGAGATACCTCAAATATAGACCTGCTTAATGCGATGTCCTTATTTGTATTAATAGCTTGTGTCCAGCTACTTTTCTGTTTCCTGGTTTGTTTGCATGTTTTGTAAAGAATCAGGTGAGGCTCGTTTTTAATTTCCAATCACAATTTTCATTTAAAGTGAAAGGGAGGATTTTAAACAAAAACCAGGGAACCGTTCCTTTTTAGTTCATTTGATTTTGATGTTCCTTTTTATCTGCCTCTCTCTCTGTTGTCCCATTATAGTCTTTAATCATAAACGCTTTCAAATTAAGAGCCTTGGCAGTCCAGCTGTAATGTGTTCCAGGTACCTGTGGGCACACTGGGGGGGTTCTGTTGCACCATAAAGGGTATGAAACGGCAGCATTTTTGGCCACACAGAAAGCTCCAGGACATTTTGAACAGGTGTCTGAGCAGTTGGTATAGAGAAGGGATGCTGTATAAGGTAATTAGGAAGTAGATATCTGCAGTCTGCCAGTGTTATCCAAAGCAGGTTTTAAGTTGCTTCTCCCCTAAGCACCCACAGGTGTCATTTTGACCATAAACTTTACCTTCAAAGCTGTTAATTCCTGCCTGGTTTTCCTGTTTTCCCTATCCAGATTACCACTTTGTGACAAGAGAGGAAATGCAGAAAGAAATTGATGCTGGTGAATTCATTGAGCATGCAGAGTTCTCTGGAAATATGTATGGAACAAGGTACGTGGCTCAGACACTGTGGCTGCTGAACCCAGGCAGTGCTGTGAGCTGAGATAATGGTGAAGGAAAAAGTATTTTGACTTAGATACACTCTCTTTCTCTCAAACACACAGATTCTTGCCAATAAGCAAAGCCTTTAATTTTGGCAGTGACGTCCTTATCAGCTTTATTAAGATGGCAAAATTAACTCATGCAGAGAGTTAGCTCGTTGTAATTAAATCATCATTGTGTTAAAGATCCTCTATAGCCTCCAGTATTTGAGGGCTGCTGAAGTTGTTCATACGCTTAACACTCCTCCTGCACAGGGGTGATTTTTATGCTACTTAGTATTTTCCAGGTGCTTGCAGAGCATGGTGGGCAGAATGGAGAATTACTTTCTAATGATGTGAATATGATGAATTTGGGAGCAGAAGCTGTAACTGTGTTGGCTGTTGTGAAACAAATTCTTGTGCTGCTTTGGTAAAGTGGCTGCTATGAGCAGATAAATTGCACAGCACTCTTAACTGTGGTTAAAGGGTTATGTGGATTTTAAAATAGCATTGCCCTCGGCGTTGGAGCTGGTGATCAATAAAACATTAAGCTGCAATGTTAATTAGAAGTCAGATATCTTATATAATTATTGTGAGAAAATTGCGTCACTGTAGTAAAGGACCTTCTAAGGAGGAAAGTTAAAAGTTTCTTGAGATATTTAATTAGTTGCGTTAAAGAAACTTTCCTGCAATGTTTTTCAGAAAGACCTAGATTCCTTAAAAAGCTAAATGTGCTTTTTCTTGAGGAGTTGTTGGAGATGGCATTCTTCATGGGAGGTCCCAACATAAGGCCCCCAAGCTGAATGTGGTGTAGGTGTACAGCTGTGAAGGAACGTTTGGTGAGTCTGCATTTCAGTGTGAAATGGTGAGCTGTTTCAGTGTGACGTGCACAGGGGTCACTTGCTGTCACCGCAGCTAAGGGTAGTCTTGCCAGGGGTCTGGCCATGCTCCCTCTGAGGCTGGTGGAGGGGCACAATCCCCTCTGCCCTGGCCTTGATAGTTCCAGTGTTGCTTGTTTGGTAAGAGAAGGGAAAGCTGACAGCTCATCTTCCAAATACCCAGCAGCAAGGAGAGACTGAGTTCAAGCTCCTTAATCCCTGACTTCATCCTGTGTAGGACAGGCTTCCTTCCCTCACGTGGGTCCTGCTTAATCCAGCTGGCCACATCACGGAGGAGACAGCTGCTCTCCATTGCCCGATATGTAGGTGGAGTTGATTTTGGTGCCTTTACTTCAGTGTGGGTGGTGAAAAAACATCTCTCCTCAGCCAATTTCCTTGTAGTAATTCAATACTTCAACCAAATTAAATGACATGTTTGTGTTTCTTGATTGGTTGTAGCAGTAGTTAGTTGATACCTGGTGATACCACATGAAGCCTGCAGTTTTCACAAGGCAAACCAAGCCATTTTGGGGGAGTGCTTGTGAATTTGTGGTGGATGATGCTCAGATCTGGGCTCTTGCTGCTCCCTGATTGGGCAATGCAGCAAACCTCTGTATTTGTATAGGGTACATAGCTGGTCTCACAGCTTCGCTTCAGCTTTCTCCTTCCTGTTGGGGACATGACCTGTGTTACTGCACTCCCACGTCAGAAGGAAAGTCACCAGCCACCTCCGTCCTCCTGCATGACCCCATCATAGTGGTGTCTTTGCAGGCAGTAGACCCTGCTGCACTGACCACACCAGCTGCAGAGCCATGAGGGTGCCTGTCTGCCTGCTCTTCCCCACGTCTGTCTTGAGGAGCTCACAGCATCACTGTGGCAGGCTGCTCCAGTCATCATCTCAGTTTGCTGGGGCTTTTTTGGGCTTGCAGGCTCCCAGAAGTCTTTACAGATTTCTCTATCTGGGCTCTGTTCCCTATTCCTGCAAGGCACCTTCTGCGTGAGCTGCTCTGTCCTCTCCAGGTGTTTTTCCAGTGAGCTGTCATGTAACTGTGGTACCTGTGGCACTGCTGATTTGGGGTGGAGAATTTTAGGTGTTCAGGAACAAGCTCAAGGCAATTCCCCCATGCTGGGGAAGAGATACCATATGTAATGATATATGAGAAGTGCCACTTAAAATATTTTAACTGTGCATCTTGTGACCCAGGCAGGAGTTTCCATCTCAAACATTCTTCAAGAGAGCATGTGGATACAGAAACTGGTGGATCTCTGAAACAGGAGGAAGGAAGTTCATAGTGGTTTTGCTCTGTGCTGAAAGTTGCTCCTATGTTTGTTGAAGGCAGGATTTTTACAGCTTGCGCCCGAGACAGTCTGCTCATGGGATAGTCATGAGTTATCTATTTCCACACCTTCCATTGTGGTTTTGCCAGCCTCTCTAGCAGAAGATAGCAGGTCCCTGCTCTGCCCCAGGGATCCAGAGGACATCTGGGGAAAGAGAACTGCTCAGCAAGAACAGAACAGGCTCTCCTCTCCTGCCAGTTTGGGCACATGGGAGTCCTGTGAGGTGAAGACCTGCTATTAGGGGGGAACAAACCAAGCCACCACTGCTGTGGCTGGATGCTCTGACCCCTTCCCTCTTTGCTCTGTCCCCAGTAAAGGTGCAGTGCAGGCTGTCCAGGCCCAGAACCAGATCTGTGTCCTTGACATCGACATCCAGGGCGTGAAGAACATCAAGAAGACGGACCTGAACCCCATCTACATCTCTGTGCAACCTCCGTCCATAGACATCTTGGTGAGCGACCGCCTTCCTTTGCCGTTAGGCAGTTAGAGGTAATCAGCGTCTTGCTCTGAAGCGAGGGGGGACCCCCCTCATTGATTCATCTGTATGTTTTTAAGGGCTGTAGAAGAGGTGGGGAGGACATTTCTGAGCACACCCTTACCTCTGCCCAGTCCAGCTCCCCAGCGTCTGGCCCCCAGGGGATAAATCTTCCTGTGCTCTTTTTTCGAGTCCCTCCTGTACAGTTTCCACACCTTGGTGTGTTTGCCTGCATTGGGTTACAGACTCCATTGCAGCATGGCCAGCCTTTAAATGCATTAGTTGTGCTTAATGCTGGGGAGAGGAGAAGATTAAACCGAGGGAAGCTGGCTCTCTGCAGCACTGGAAATCCTGTACTCCTCTGGCCTTATGGGGCCCTATATAATAGTGATTGCCATGTGCCTTTCACAGAAGTGAAGTCATTGCCATGGTGCAGAGATGCATGTGCATACATATATATACAACTTGCTGAAGCTGTGCAAGGAGTATGGGCAGTAAAGGCCACAACTCTAGCTCTTCCCTCTTGCTCTCACTGAGTTTGCGGAGGAGAAAGCCAACAGCACCAGTTGCCAGAATCCAGCAGAGTGATTTCATCTCCCAGGAGTACCTGCAAAAATCCAAGCCAACCCAAAAGCAGGGGGAAAATGAGACTGGCAGCTGGAGCTCTGGGTAGGAGATTTTGAACCCAAACTCAGCTTGGCAACTAGTTTGCTCTGGGCTGTAAATAAAGCCCCTCACTCTTTGCAGAGTGTTATCTCATCTGCAGTGGTCGCTGGCAGTAGGAAATGGCAGTGGCTTGTGGGGTGGGTGGTGGTTTCTGTGTACAGCATTTGGAACACGTTTCTTAAATGTTTTTGTCATTGTGTTCAGGAAAAAAGACTACGTGATCGAAAGACTGAGACAGAAGAAAGTTTGATGAAGCGTTTGACTGCAGCCCGCATAGATTTGGAACTTAGTAAGTGCAGGGGCCTTTGAGTGATGTGCACAAGGAGAAGGGAGATGCATTGCTGATTTAGGAGTTGATTTTTGCGTGAACAGCCGACTTGCTTTCTGAAAGGAGTGCTGGCAGGGCTCGGACATCACCTGAGTTTGATCAAAGCACCATACTGCATTGTTTCCCGCTGCAGTTCCTTGTGAGTGGTTGACAGAGGGGCTGGAATAATAAAATGCCGTAGGAACTCAGGTCATACCCAAGAGATGACTCAGGACAGAAACACATTCTCAAGCTCTTAACTCCCTATCGCTGTCTCTTTCCCCAGGTAAAGAGCCTGGCCTGTTCGACTTGGTCATTATTAATGATGATTTAGAAAAAGCCTATTCTGAATTGAAAGAGACACTCCTGGAGGTGAGTTGTTGTTCAGGGCTTTTTTGCCCCACTTCCTGGGCAGGGATGACCTCTAGCATGAGCAGGTGAAGGTTTGTCTATAGGCGGCCACAGAAATGTGACCACATGCGCACACTTGATATGGTTTGAGCTGCTGAGTGACATAGCTGAGCATGGATCATGTATAAGCAATGGTGGATCAGTGGCCTAAGAGTGGGAAACAGATCCAGTACAATACTGGGTTGGGGGCAAAATAAACACATGTCCCTTGGCAGTATGGAAGGGGTCCACTTTTTTTGTGGCCATTTTTGAAGAGCCTTAAAGTCAAGCCTTGCCTTCTCCCTAAAGGCTCATGTGTAAACTCTGGGCTTGGTCCTGCAATGTTGTGGAGGTGGTCTGAGGAGATGATCTCTTGTGGCCTCCAGAGCTGTGAAACTAAGAATTGTTCCCAAAGAGTAGCAGATGCTCAGTTGTTTTCCTGATCTCCTTGCAGGAAATCAAGAAGACCCAAGAATCCAGGAAATCCTGAGCTGAGCCTGCTTGGATGTTTTATCTTTGCACATCATTCCCGAAGCACGTGACACCCATTTCATTGCGAGAGACATTCCCTTTAGACTGATCCTCCTCCCGAGTTACTCTAGGATGTTTCTATTAAAAGGAAAGAAAATGAAACCCAGTCACAATTGTGTTTGTGTTCGCCACAGACTTGGTGTGTGCTCTCCCAAGTTTGTACCTCAGGAGGATGCTTTGGAAGTGATTGTGTGGTGTCTGCTGCCAAAGGGCAGAGCCATTCTGCAAGGCAGTAGAGGAGCTATCTGGGCAGCTGTGGCCCTAACACATGGCTTTGGATCCTGCTGCAGTATTTGTGGAGGTACATGTGCCAGCTAATGCTGCTCAGTACAGGGAGATACTTAAATTGATGTGACACCTGCAAATGGAGGGGCTTACACCTTCACTGGCGCACCCGGTGTCACAAGTGTTGGCATCCTTTTCTCCCTCTTATTTCTGCTTCTTTTTGCAGGTCTGGATACAGCTCCTCAAGGCATTTCTGCCTGTCAGTGCCTGCCTCTGTGGTGGTGTATTTTGTTGCTGTAGCAGAGCAGCACAGCTTGGCTCTAGCCACAGTCCTAGTGAGCAGATGGGTTTGTTTAGTAACCCAATAGGAGAAAGGAATGGTTGCAGGATATCATCTATTCGCTGCCTTGTTTTCTGGGGGAAAGGTACTGTCAGCTTCTTGTCTGCCATCCTGGCAGCAATCCTGTAATTCATGTGTACTTGGTCCACTTGCGTTTAGGTGTGGGTAGATCCTTAGATGCTTTTAAACCTACAAGTTGGGGAAGAACAGATTCCTTTCCCAGGCTGTGCAACCTTTTTGTTGATGTGCTTGAGGACAGCAGTAAAACCCTTCTCCTAAGAGGGATCCATGTGATCTAGCTGCTGTCCCTCATACTGGTCTCTGGCTTGAGATACGGGGAACTTTGCCTGGTGCAGGCTGGAAGGATGTTTTGCACTTCACTTCCCCAGCTTTCTTCAGCCGGAAGGTTGATGCTTTCATATAACTTCTGAGCGCTTTGATCCCTCCAGCACATCGCATCCTGAGCCTTCTTGGAGGTGTTGGTTCCTCACTGAGCCCCTGTGTTCAGAGCAGTCAGCCTTCACCAGAGGTGTGAGAGGGGGATGAACAGTGTCATGTCTGGTGCCTCCAGGTGGTTAACCTGGTTTTGGGCTCCAGGAAGAAATGGTGGATGCAAACAGGCATGCAGCACAGCTGCTCTTGGGGTCCCTTGTACCAGAGGCTGGTGTCCTGGAGGATGCAGGTGGTTTGTGTTGGATCCTCAAGACATGAGTCTGTCAGATCTGCCATCCTGCAGGTGGTGGCTTCCAGCAACCTGCCCTCAAACTGAACTTAGATCAAGCTAGACTGTTCAGTCACAGAATCCTAGAATGGTTTGGGTTGGAAGGGATCTTACAGCTCATCCAGTTCCAGCTCCTGCTGCCACAGGCAGGGATACCTTCCACCAGACCAGGTTGCTCCAAGCCCTGTCCAACCTGGCCTTGAACACTGCCAGGGATGGGGCAGCCGCAGCTTCTCTGGGCAACCTGTGCCAGTGTCTCACCACCCTCACAGGGAAGAACTTCTTCCTCAGATCCCATCTAAATCTCCCCTCTGTCAGTTTAAAGCCATTCTGCCTTGTCCTGTCTTTACCTGTCCTTGTCAAAAGTCCCTCTTCAGCTTGTCAGCCCTTTTAGGCACTGGAAGCTGCCCTAAGGTCTCCCTGGAGCCTTCTCTTCTCCAGGCTGAACAAGCCCAGCTCTCTCAGCCTGTCTCCATAGCAGACATGCTCCAGCTCTCGGAGCATCTTTGTGGCCTCTTCTGGACTCGCTCCAACAGCTCCACATCTCTCATGTGTTGGGGCCCCAGAGCTGGACACAGGACTGCAATGAAGGGTCTCACTAGAGTGCAACAGAGGGAGAGAATCCCCTCCCTCGACCTGCTGGTCACGCTGCTGGTGATGGTTGGTTTCTGGGCTGCAAGCACACACTGCCAGGTAATGGTGAGCTTCTCATCAAACACGACCAAGTCCTCAGGGCTGCTCTCAATCCAGTCTCCCCCAGCGTGTGTTTGTGCTTGGGATTGCCCTGATCCAGGTGCAGGATCTTGCACTTGTTGAACTTCATGAAGCCTGCATGGGCCTACCTCTCCAGCCTGTCCAGGTCCCTCTGCATGACATCCCTTGCCTCCATGCTCAGATTTTCTCCCTAAACCCACATCTGACCAGATGTCCACAGCTCCATGTTGTGGACAGCATCAAGCAGAACCAGGTCTTGGGCAACCCCTCGAGTACCTCACTGGAATTCAGAAGGACCATTTGTTGATTATTTTGATCATTTACCTCTCTTGGGCTGTTTTAAATACATCTTTCCTAGATTAAAGTGAAATTCTACTGTCAGGAGTTTTGTGTTGCACTGTTCTAGCTCTGGTTAAATGGGCAGGAAAACCCTCCCCAGAATTTTTCTTCACGTCTGGCTTTCTCCATGCTGACAGTGTGCATCGCTCTATCGCTGTTCATAGCGAGTGCCCAGCTCTGCTTTTGTTTATTTATGTTTTTCTGCATTTGGGGGATTTCGCTCTGTTTTGAGGAATGCATTTGCAATGGGGAAGCGTCCCCTCTAGATGGCAGAAACGACAGCAGGAAAGTGCCGGGCCCCGCGCAACAGAAGGCAGAGGTGAAGGACACGGTGCTGGCCTCAGTCTGGTGGTCTGCAGCCACCGTGCGGGACCTGTGGTGCTGTCACCAGATGGAAATGCCCCGCTGCTGCCTGCTTAGGCCCACCACCAACACCCCGAGAGCTGCGTGGAGCCCAGCCTTCAGGGGTCCTGCCGGGAGAGGTGAGTGCACCTAGGAATGGGAAGGGACGATGCTTCAGCCATATGGAAAATGCAAGTAATTTAGATATCTGCATCCCCCTTTCATGGTGGTAACAGAGAGGAAAGTGCTAAATAACCCACCCTGAGCCGGGTGACCTGGTTTGAGCGGCTGTTGCTGTGTCTGACAGACTGAAGCAGCGAATGCCTGGATGCCTGGCGCTAATGCGAGGTGACGGGGTGGCTGTGGGGACAGAGATGGGTAGCAGAGCGACTGGGAGTGTGTTGCTGGAGCTGGGCTGGTTGCTGAGCAGGTGATGCAGCTGTGGAGCATCTCTCATGCATTGTTTTCAGTTGCTGTTGGGAGTGCCCCTCTTATGTTTGGTGTTTCGGAAGGGCCATGCTGTGCACCTAATCTCGTGACTGGGTGGGTGAAGGCACCTGTTGAAATGAGTTTAATTCCTGCATCCTCAAAACCAGGATGTCTCTCTTATTGCATTTACAAACATAAATCCTCTTCTGGATCCATATTTTCAGTACTAGCTAGTTGGGAATGCAGCCATCCCTGGAGCAGGCAAGGACCATGCTGAGCAGCACTGACGAATTTAGGGTCCTACACAGCCACAAATGGCAGCTCCCAGTACTCAGTGTGGGGCTGGGATGGAGAGACCAGACGGTAGCAAAGCAAGGGACAGATGTCTCCTTACCGGGGTTCCCTGTGATTAAAGATGGTCCCCCAGGACCGGCATATTTCCTACCTAGGATGTGTTCCAGACAGGAAGGTGCTGAACATACCAGCCAAGAGGTTTAGAGCATTTTGGGGTGAAGGTGGAAAGCTAACGCTGTCAAATGTGCTTCTGCGTAGCTGTCCCAACAGCCATTAAAAACCTCATCACCTTGTCTCATGGACCACAGGGATGAGCTTCTGCCCCTGAGGGTGGCTGTGATTCTGGCTGAGATGTTGGTCAGTTGCTCCATCTTGGGTACACCCAAGTGAAAGCATGGGCTTGCTCCTGGATTGCTTGTGGAAATGTCAGGAGAAAAAAAAAGGGATTTTATATATTCACTGTTCCTTCAGATTGGAATAATACTGGACAGATTTTGGCTTTTTTCAGCTCTGAAAGGTACTTTGGGAAGTGTGGAAGCACCTCATCCCACATCCCTGCAGGAGGATGATGCTGGGAGAGGAAGGCTCATCTGCATCAGTAGGATGTGTGGGATGAGGGAAGGCAACCCCCAAAGCCAATGCCCAGACCATCCTGGGGGAAGCCATGAAAGGCAGGAGCTGTATTCCAGGATAGCTTCAAGCAGCCCAAATTACCCCAAAGCCCATCTGCCTTGGCTCCTTCCGGCATCATGTCCCCTCCAATGATCCTACAGTCCAGAAGCTTGTCCTTGCCTTGGCTTTTCTTAGTATCTCTGTGCTTTTGGAGGCAGCTCTGATTTTCGAGCTTGCTTCCGTGCCACTGCAGAAAGGCACCGCAGGGCAGAAACGGCCTGGGAAATAATTGGGCACCCGGTGCATAAAATAAGCAACAAGGAAAAAAAAAAAGTAGGGAATAACTGATTTTCTCACTTGCCCATCAATGCCCAGCTCAGTCTGTGTGCGAACTTCCAATTGCAAACACTGGGAGATGTAATATACTGAGTGCTGAAGTGTGATGGGATATGCTCATGTTGGCGCACAGGGATGGTGTGTGATGGATAGGGCTGCGGCTTCAGCAACCTGAGTGCTGTCAGAAGTATCTGGGGGAGAAAATCCTTATAGTGAGCCAGCCTAGGCTCCTTGCGTGTATTTATGACCTTCTGGAGAGGTGCAGCACATCAGTGGGGTTGGTGCTGGCTGGACCCAGCATAGCTGCAGAGTCTGAGGTCACCAGTTACAGCTCTTCTGGCAAATCCCATTATTTCCTATATCTGGTGCCTGCATTTCCATCGGTATGCAACAGACCTCTTCTAGGAAATCATCCAGCAGCCTGCATGGCTACAAAACGGAGCTGAGAGCCTTATTGCAAGCGATTCAGAGTCAACCCTCTCCCTGGGGTCACCCCTCCATCAAAGCTGCAGGGTGAGATCTGCTGGTGTTCCCTGACCCCCTGTGGAGCAAAATCCTCTGGCATATCGCAAGCCAAGTGAAGCCAGCTGACTTTGCACTGGAGCAGATGAGGATCGTGCCCCTGGGATCGGGGGCTTGGTGGGATGGGGAATGAGGAATGCAGCCATGCCAGACTGTGGGCTTATTTGTAGGGCCTGCAGCTGAGACTGGTTTTATACCAGGTGATGTGCTCCTTGCCCAGGCATGCTGATGTCCTTTTCATGCTCTCCCGTAGGACAGCAAGGTGACCATCACATGCCCGCTGTTGCCTCACACTGAGACACCCACCAGCACCACCAACACTGACAACAGGTAAGTCCTGCAGAACCCCAACAACTCATAACATTCCCTGGGTCTAACTGACCCTTATCGGGCCTGACCTGACTCTTGATGGCACCCCTTGGCCAAGACATCGCTCCTCCAGGATGTGTTTTCCCTGACTGCACTGTTGCTGGAAAGCAAGCTGTGGGGGAGGATCAAGTTTTCTCTCTAGCACAGGGTATTGGAGAGCTTCCCATTGGAACTTGGAGCTCCAAGGTGCTCGTAGGAGTTATGCTGTCTCCATCTCTGTCGGCTCTGTGAGAATAAGTGCTTCCCTGGCAGCAGGACTGGGAGCTGGGATGCGCCTGCCTTGCTGGGCACTGTATTTGGGTCAGCCTCATCGACTGGATGTGCAACTGTGTCATCCCTGGAGAGCGTGGGATGCCAATCCATAAACCTGACTGGCTCTGGATGGGGTGGCACGCACATGAGAAGCACCGGCTGAGGCAAAATGCCGGCACCAACACCGTGCTCCCCATTTCACGAGCTCAGCCCTGCTCCCAGGCTCCAAAAATGGGCAGAACCACAGGATATCCAGTACAGGCTCAGCTTTTTCCAACAATAGCAGCTGTGACTCCGCTCATCCAGGATGTGGCTCCAGCCCTGTAAATAGCCAGAAGCCATCTGCAATTCAGATTGTGTGCAGTGGCAACTGGTACAACTGGATGCTGGTGAAATTGGGGATACATCTCCTTCCTGACACCTGATTTCTCCCTCCCCAGGCACTAAAGGAGGGAGGAGCAAGATGTTTTCCTGGATTTTACTTTCCCTATCCTGGATGGATGCGAGGAGGTGATAAAATGAAGGCTGAAAAGGTGAAACAATGGTTCCCCAGTTGAACTTGCAAATATATATATATATATATATATATATATATATATATATATATTATTTCATCACCTCACAGAAGCCATTATTCTATTGAACTGGGAGCCTGGTCCAGTAGGCACAGGGAAGGGTGTAGCAGATGGAGCATCCATCCTCCCAGTGACCAGTCCTCAGTCCAGCATTCATTTGCAGATATTCCCTTGAAGCCCTAGGGGTTACTGCTCCTGTCAAGCAAGTCTTACTGATGGAAAGCAAAGCACCTTGATGGTGGGCATCCAGCTGCAGCGATGTCCCTGTCTCCGTAATGCAAAGCCAGCACAGAGGTGGTGGGGGCTGAGCCCTGCTGGGAAAACTCTCCAAAAACCCAAATGCAATGCTTCAGTCCTCTGTGTTACAACCAGCAATGTGCTGAGCTAGGTATACTGGGTATAGGCTGGGGAAAAAAAGGGGAGATTGATAATTTTTCCTGGTTGGAAGGAAGCTTGAGCTGGATCCCTTGCTTCTGAATGTGGCGGTGGTCCTACAGGTGCCTCCTGGATGTGGCAGAGTGGACTGGAGAGCAAAAACAACCCCCAGTTTGAGGTGGAGAGGGGAGATTGGTGTCACTGCCCACGTAGGTGGAGCAATCGCTGTCCCCAGGGTGCCATAGCCAGCATCTGTGGGATGAAAGAGTTTGTCAGGCTGTTCCCCTGAGCAAGGAGGATGATCTTGCATGGTTCATTGATTCAGTATCTGATTGCTAATTATTACAGTAGCTTGACCTGTGGAGGCCAGCAAGCCATAATGCCTGCAGTTATCTCAGCCAGCATCCTTGTGGCCTCAAACCTAGGCTGAATGTCCCTTCTGCTCCCTCCCAAGTGCTTGCTTTCCAATTGCCACCCTGCTTCTGCCAGCATCCCCAGGGAGCAGCACAGCTCCAGCACAGCAGCTTTTCCACTTAATTTGCCTTTATGTATATTTGAATGTATTGCATTTTGGTTTATCCCATGTGCCCTCCAAAGCATGGGTGGTGCTGTTCCTTTGGGCCATCATATACTGCAGCTTCACCCCACTGGCTTTAGGACCTGCTCTCAGCCTGCAGATACCAGGGCTGGCACGTAGAAGCAAAAATACAACAGACAGCACTGCTGTGGGGGCATATCTGGGCTCTGCACTGGTTTCATTGCTGAAACCCAGCCTGATCCCCCTTGTCCTATCCACTGTGCCCATAGGGAAGGAACTTCACCAGTCTTCTTGCAGCACCTTCTGGTGTTTCTAAAGACAGGCAAAATCTCTTGTTGTGCCTTCTCATCGTCTTGGCGGCAGCAAAAGTGCTGCCTCTCTGGTCCCTGGGTGCCGCTGGAAAGAGTTTGGTCCTGTTTTCTCAACACTTTCCCATTTAATAGTTACATTTATGAACAAGGACTCCCCTGCTGTTCTCCAGCCTGACCAGACCGAGCTCAGCCTCTCCTTATGCATCCCATCCTCCAGCCCTGACCACCTTGGTGGCCACCACCAGACCCTCCCCAGCTCCTCAGTGTGCTTCTGTAATGGCTGCACTGGAAGGATTGCTATGAAATAACACCCAGAGCATCCCTCAGTTTGATCAGTGAGCCATTAACACCAGTTTTCAGCCCATCTTCACATGACTGCCATACCCCAGTGTATTTTCTCTAAGGTCCCATTTCCTTCCTTCCTTGTAGGAACCGCACACCAGGCAATAGCACAATGGTGTTGGCAAGGTCAATCTGAGCATCTCTCCTGTCCCTAGCTCTGTTATCCCACCCTAGGAGGGAAACAAAGTCTCCTGTTCCTGTCCAGTCGTAGGATGAAGCCTTTTGGGAAATTGCAGAGTAGCAGAAGCTTCAGCCCGTACGAGTGACTGCATGCAGGAGCTGCGGCTCTGGAGGGGACAATGATGGCATTGAGCACGGGTGCTGAAACGCTGCTGTATTGTGCCTGGCAGAGAGATGCCCGGGAATAATCGCCTCTTCCTTGGCTTTGTTGCAGGGCTGTGGCCGGTTGCACTGCAGGGCTTCTTCTCCAGCAAAGGTCTCCGGTTATGCAGTGAAGACCTGCAGCTCAGACTCACCTCTTTTCCTGGCTGTGAAAGGTATGGCTCATCTAATCACCTCCTTACTGAGATGTGACTCTGGGGGTATCACCAGGAGAAAATGTGGATTTTGTGGGCAAAAGGATGATTTGTTCCTCATCCTGGGGGACTATGTCACTCTTTCACTGATCCTAGTAATATATTTTGTATAAATTATATTATATATAGTGTATATAGTATATTTTTTATATATCACATGACATATAAAGTCAACATTGAGAGCTGTGCAGATTGTCTTATTTCATTTTACTCCTATAAAATGTTTTGTATAAAATGTTTAAGCTACTGATATCCAACTCCACTTGGAGTCTGGGCAATCCCTTAAAATTTGGATCCAGGGCTTTGCTTGACACTGTTATTAACAAGGCTGAACAAGACTTGACTCTGGGTCTGCAACAGTAAGCTGAGATTTTTTTTGTTTTAGAAGCATACTTAAGGTTGTTTTCAAGTTGGGCACCTACAGAAGGGTTTTCCTAAATAGTAATCTTCTTGAAAACCTCTGATTTGCCTGAAGTTTTGGCTTGTGACTGTGTCAAGGGCAGCATCAGACACAGGAGCAAGCACTGCAGTGATGCCTCCCTTCTCCCCCGTCCTCCATCCCTGGGGCATCGTATGAGTTAATTTCCCCTTCTGGGAGCACATACCCCCTGAATGGTCAGCCAGGCTGCTTCCCAGCTGGTTCATCCCCTAGAGCAGCTGGAGAGAAGAAAACCACTTGAAAAGTTAAATAAGAGGATGAAAACTTGGCTGCCTCATTCAGCTGTGCTGTGGAGCAAGGATATCCCTTCTCCTTAAAAACAGGAAAAACAAGTTACTTTGAGGAGTTGCACATGGTGGGTGCTACTTGGGGGACATGCATGGGGTCCCTGTAGGATTAGGAGATTCAAGAACCCCCAAATTGGAAAGCTTTAGAGCCACCTTCATACTGGATTTGCTAAATTTTGGAAGGGGTTCTTTAGCTGTAGCGAACAAAACCTTGCTGATTTGGACTCCTAGAAGCCAAATTTCACCTCGCAGCATGGGGCCTTTAAGGAAAATATCAATTATTGTGAGATCAAGCATAAAATCATGCAAGCTGGCAAGTGAAGGAACAGAGAACATGCCAAAGGTTGTAGCCTCTGCTTGGGGGCAGTTATTTAATCCCTGCTTGTTGTGTTTGAGTGTGGGGTAACATCACCCCCTCTTAGGCTGGAGACCTGCATGGGGACAAAACTCTGGGACACAGCAGAAGGGGCTAGGATAGGGGGATAATGTCCCCTCTGTCCCCTTCCAGCTGTTATCCATAGGGCAGTGTGATGCTTCCAGCTGTGCCCTCCCCCCCCCCCCCCCCCCCATAAGGCGGTGCTGGGAAGGAAGCAGGGGGATGAAGAGGGGCTGGGATGGAGCTGGCAGGGGAGTCCTCAGCCAGCATAAAATACTAAGAATGTAAAATCTGAGCAACAGGAGCTGCTTTGGGCTGTTGACTTTGCCATAAACATAATGGGGGGATGTTTTTGCTGCTGCTGCAGTGTTATCACTGTAGCTGCAGGGACAGATTGAGTTTGCAGCTGACTTGCCTTTCTGCTTCACCTCTGTTTGAACAGAAATGAAAAGAAACTCCAAATGAGAAGGAAGCATTTCTTTATCCTATGGCAGCACCTCCACTTCCTGCCTTCCCTCTCCTGCTCCAAGGAGCTCTCTTTCTGCTATTATTAGCCCTAACCCTTGGATAACTTGATTTTCCCCTAAGCACTCTTGGCTCCTGGAAGCATTGCTGCGGTCTCGTTTTTTCTGGTCTTTCTTTGAGCGCTTTTAAGGAAATTAAAACTAAAAGGGAAGCGAAGGAGATGCTGGTGAACAATGGGTCTGCAGCGTCACACTTGGAGGAGCTCTCCGGTCTTGGGACGCTTCCCCGGTGGACGTCTCCACGTCAGCGTCTCCAGGCTGGTGCGGCGGGAAGAGCTGGGTTTGAAGGGGCGGGAGGGAGGAGAAGCGCTGCAGCAGGGACGGGACGCGACGCTGCCTGTGGCTGTGTGCACCGCGGCGGGGAAGGATGGGACGCTTTTGGAAGGGACTGAGCCCAGCATTCTCTGTATGTTACCTTCTGGTTCGGTTTGTTTCGCTGCTTCCCCCCCCCCCCCCCCCCCCTCCACTTTACTTTGGTATTTTGCCGATGGTTTTCCTTGGCTGCTTTCCTGGCGCCTTGCAGACCCCCACCCTCTGCTTTGACCCACCTCTGCTCCTGCTCTCCCCTGCTCTTCATTCTCTGTCCTTTCCCCATCACTTGGGTGGGGAGCGCGTTTACCATGACATTACAGTGTTCGTGTATTGCCTTTCCTGCCGGTGGTAAGAGACATAACATCCCTATTTGGCATCAGTTTGTGCACATTTTGTCAGCATAAATCATCCCCCGTCGCACAGGGCAGTGCAAATCTGTCTCCTGTGAGTCTGGGATTAAACCACTGATAGTTTGGCTTTTTCCTGGTGGAAAACCCTATGAGCTCTTGGACCTTCTGGCCAGTCCCCCTCCTGAACCTCCCCCCCATCTCAGGCCACCAGAGGTGGGGAAAGGAAGACACTTTGGGGTCTGTTTTCCCTGCTAGTCCTTCTCTCGGTCCCTTGGGTTACATTTCTGACACTTGTGCTTGCACTGAAAATCTTGGGGTCTGCAGCCTGCTTGCTCTTGGAGCATTGGATTAGGTGGTACATGCTTGTCCTTCAAGAGCTGGTCTTTGAAGACCAGGCACAGGCGCCTGCAGGAGCTCACCCCAGCAGAAGATGCAGTTTTGCAGCTGGTGTCTCTAACCCATGGACAAAAGGTCCATTGATAAGTTTATGTTGTGTGTAAGGTGCTTTTGTATTGTTTTCTCAATACTATCCAAGGATGTCAGCACACTTTTCATCCTCGCATCTCAAACCACTTCACAAAGGAATTCTCTCCTGCACAGCTGAGGAAACTGAGGCATGAGGAGGGCAGTGGCTCAGCAGCATCACCACCAGTGGGAGCTGAACCTGCTCCTTGGTGGACTCATCTTCTTGGCCACCAGCCTTCCTTGAGAGAAAACTCTCCCGTTGGCTACCAAACACACAGGATGCTCCTCTGGAGTGGGATATCCTCCAGCTTGTATCCCCCATCGACAACTCTAGGTCCTTAGGGGCTTTTGACAAGGGCATGTAGGGATAGGACAAGGGGGAATGGTTTTATTCTCCTTATGATAGAGGGGAGATTTAGATGAGATCTGAGAAAGAAGCTCTTCTCTGTGAGGGTGGTGAGAAACTGGCACAGGTTGCTCAGAGGAGCTGTGGCTGCCCCATCCCTGGCAGTGTTCAAGGCCAGGTTGGACGGGGCTTGGAGCAACCTGGTCTAGTGGAAGGTGTCCTTGCCTGTGGCAGGAGGTTGGAACTGAGTGTTCTTTAAGGTCCCTTCCACCCCAAACTATTCTGTGATTCTATGAATCTCGCGTAGAGATGATGTTGCATTTCCATAGCCTTTTTTGGCTCCATCCTCAATAAAACCCTAGTATCTTCCTTGTGACCTTTAGCGACATCCCTCCTGCCTCTAGATTGCTGGTACAGTTGTTAGCAGGCTTGGTTACAACCACAATTTGTCCAAAGGGATCCCTTGAGAGTGGGGCTGGAAGGGCCTCTTGAGCTCTCCTGGTCCATACTGTGCTCCATGTGTGGAAGGAGGGCTTTTCTCTCTCTCATATGGTGGGAGCTCCGTCTGCTCCCTATACCAAAATGCCCTTTCCAGCTGTACCAAGCACAGGAGCTTGGCTTATAAATTCTTTTAAGTTGTGCTTAATGGGAGAGGGCTGTGTCCTCTCCTGGCAGGGAGTGAGCAAACATCCCCCTATCTCAAACAGAGGGAAAGAGTCCCTTGAGTCATAAGAGGCCACAGGCAGCTGCTTCTTTCACCCAAGTTACCTTGCAATGCCACAGGAGGGCAATCCGTCCTCTGTACAAAGTCTCCTTAGAAAGTCAGAGGAAGGAAATCCAGTTTAATCCTGCTCAAGTGAGTCAGGGGCGGGTGGGAACTGGAGGAAGGGGTATGTCGCTGATGGGGAATCTGCGCCTCGTATTCTCCTGCAGGCTCTGAGAGCTGTGTCTGAGACAATCCTTGAGTGCTGTCCAAGACTGAAATGCCAGGAGAGTTTTTTCAGTGTGTGTAATAAGGAAACCCCTCCTTCCTCAGCAATGCACTGTGGAGGTGGATCACAGCACACAGCGTGCACAGTATTCCTGCAGGTCCCAGTGCTGCGGAGGACTCTCCTCACCCGTAACTTGCAGCTTGTTTGGAGCTCTTCCACCAAGGTTCATCCAACAAGCCCAAGAGTCATTTCTAAGGCTGCAAAGCTCCCTTTGACGTGGTGTGTTTCTTGGAGATCTTGGAGCCTGGTCCTATAAATCACAGTGGTTTCTGCTCCTTGCTGGCAGGAAAAGAGAAAATAAAGGAGTTTGTGTGGGTTGCTGCACTCCAGCAGTGCAACACTGGGCTGTAGCAGTAGAGGACAGGGAACACAGGTAGAAAAGGAGGAGCCTTGTCCCATGCTGTGGCGGGGGGGGGTTGGAACTAGATGATCTTAAGGTCCTTTCCAACTGTAACTATTCTATGATTCTATAAAATAATTAAGGCATATGGGGTAAATTGCTATTTCACTTCTAACTTTGCTCTGCTGATTGTTGTCCAGCAGGACCTCTGGTCCTTGCTACAGAGCTGCTCCCCAGCCAATTCCCACTGTCCTGGGTCTTTTTCCCCATAGAGGCCACCTTTCCATTCTGCCTTTGCTCTGTTGAACTTCACCTGGGTCGCACCAGCCCGTTTCTCCAGCCTGCTGAGGTCCCCCAACACAGCAGCACTGCACCTCTTACCCATCCGCTGCTCCCCTCAACTGGGACTAGCCCCAGACTTGGTCCCGTCACCTTGGCCCCAGTCATCATCCCTGGGGGATGCCACCATCAGTGGCCTCTGCTGCGAGGGGAACTGGCAGTGCCAGGGGTGAAAGGGTGACTCTGTGGGG